GGCACGCGCCGACGTGTCATTTGAACAATTGGCGCCAACGGGGCTATAAAGGCTGTGTTCAGCTATCCTCCTATGCTGTCAGTTCGTCAGCTTCCTGTGTTCTGTGTTCCTGTGTTTTCTGTATCCTAATTACCCGTTACTGACCCGGCTTGGACTACCCTCTGTTGTTGCTTGCTCCCTGAAGACCCCGGCTTGTTTTTGACCTTGATTCTGCCTCATCCCTTGTACTACGTTGCCAGCTCATTGATGACCTCGGCCTGCTTGACGATCCTTCTGCCTTGTGTGTTCTGCTTCCAGCTTCCTCAGCTCATCGGATCTAAAGCCTTCTGGATCCTCGTCGGTGCATCCGCATCCTGCTTCCTGCCCGGATCTACGCACTTTATCTCATCTCACAGGCGCAACAGGCTAACCAGCCTCTGGCACCCTTGCCCCTCTGTGCCCCGGCGCCCCTGTAACCAATCCAGGTGCTCCGGGACCGGAGCTGTGAGAGAGGCCACCCTCGTCAACTCAGACTCCCCTAAGGTACGTGACACTACTGTTGGAGATATGTCTACCCCTACAATAGCATGTGCTTATTAAACATACCAGCTACTCCCAAAGTGGCTTCCTATTAATAAAACCTGGGTCCTTCTCTAAAAATCAAGAATGGCATCCTGAGACACTACCTCCTAACAGCCAAGGTTACTGTCTGCAGACATTGGCCAGATCAGCAGTCATTTAGCAAGGGTAATAACTATAATTGTCCAACATCCAGACAGTTGCCAAGCTGCAAATCTAAAGATATAAGGAAAGTGTCACTTAGTAGACCAGTGAAGATCACACAAAAATTACTGTCAAGAAAAACATTTTTAATTACAAACTCAAAGTTATTTTAAAGTCAAAAGGTTTTTAATCTATTTCAAATGCTGTTGAATCACTTACAATGGATGCTGCTTCTTGGTGTATAAAAGGTTTAGTTTCCTACAGAATCAGCTGATTCCCTGAGCACTGGCCATGTTATCCTGTTTTAAGGTGCCCTTACACTGTACGATTATCGTGCGATAATCGCGGGAAATCCCTCGATCGTACGATAATCGCAGTGTATGGAAGGCGTGCGACCGTTTCTACTGTACGGTCGCACGTCTTCCGTCAAACAAGCAGGCTTGAAAACCCACTGAGAATTGTACGATTCTCGGCGGGTTAGTGGCCTGCTTGTGCGACAACTGCAGAACGGGTTGTAAAGTGTATGGCCACCTTAAGGGTGACTCCTTCCCTTGCAGGGTTCTATGGCTCCACGTGTGCTACTAAGCTGTGTGTCTCCACAAACACACAGCGAGGCAGGACACTCTTCTTTGGTCCTACTTCCACTCTTACCCAAACTGGTAGATGGACAGCTGTTGGAATCTGCACTGTCTCTTGTGATCTTGAACTCAACAGGAAGTTCAGGGAAGCCGACTTGAGAGTTGGAGCCAGCTGTTTGGAAATATGACTAAGCGCTTGGGCAACGGTTTAAATCTATGCTTTGCTGGGCAATGTACACTGAGTGGCCAGATTATTATGACCACCTGACGTTTGTAGGCAAATTAGCTATAATTTTGCGCTGAAGTTGCTAGAGGGCCAGACCATTATAAATAGGGAAGCAGGTTGTTTACCACGACAGTAGAAGTGATTTTTTTCTGAAGATATGGGTAAACAACGCGATTTAACAGCCTTTGAACGTGGGATGATTGTTGGCGCTCTGAGCCATGGAGCGAGTATCAGCAAAACAGCAGAATTCGTTTAATGTTCAAGAGCAGCTGTTGTTAAAGTGTGGACTGTCAGCCGAAAATCTGGGTCTGAACGTGCGACTTGTGGCAGTCAGTGACTAGTTAATGCTAGGGCAGAACGGAGAGTGGCAAGACTGGTACAAGACAACAGAAGGGCAACAGTGCAGTGTCAGATTCCTCGCATCACCTCTCAACATCTCGTGGAGTCACGAGGCGGCCCAACGAAGTACTGATGGGGTGGTCATAATAATCTGGCCACTCAGTGTATATTTGTTTGACCTGCATGCATTATTATAAAACGTTTGAGAGCTACTATTTTAACTGTAATTGCTGTAGTAGCTCTTTAACCATGAATACCCATACTACAATGTATCTGTTTGATCAGAAAAACTCAATTTTCCTGCTCAAGAATATATAATTCCACTCTCCAACAGCACGTGTCTAACAATGACATTCCTTCATAATAGTAGCTGTGATTCCCAACTAGCATGCTGGGGAACATATAGCATGTGACAGGAATTACACATGAGGACAAGGAGCTTTTGTTCAAATGTTTCTATAGACTAAAGTAAAACTGCAAAACCTGACTAGATTAAAGTCTGCTGACACAAAAAAAAAAGTAATTATATGCACACACTACTGCCATTTTCTGATTTTATTTGATCATTCTAAAAAAAATTATTATTCTGTAGACATTTGCAATGTGGAAAATAACTTCCCACAGAGAATTTGAATACCCCGTATATTGAAATTTTTTTGTGAGCTGCAGCAGTTATATTGATTCCTGTGTAGGGATTGTGTAAATCGTAACCCAGTTCTCACCATTCTGATCACACCTTTTATAATAGGTAGTTCTGTAGGAAATATAAAAATAAGATCTTTGTTCCTACTTTAAAATCTTTTTCTTGGTAGTTCATTAAAAGGACACAGGGCCACAGGGAAAACCTGTATAAAATATTATACCACTGGTATTATACTCCAGAGGTGCTACACTCTATATATCCGTCGACGTCCCCGAATTGCTGGAGATGTGACAGTGACAAAGGTACTCTATTCCATATATTCTGGTGTTGCCCAATATTACAACCTTTCTGGACAATGGTACAACACACGCTTGAACACCTAACAGGTCAATCGCTTCCCCTGGCCCCCTTACACTACTTGTTAAGCCTCCCATTTCTGCAATTATCAAAAACTGATAAAAAACTGACCATGCATATACTTACGGCAGCTAGATGTTTCATATCATTACAATGGAAAAGACAACTTCCACCTTCTAGAACTGACCTATATGCACGCGTTAAAGAGGTACAAGTCCATGGAATATTTGACCGCGAGGCTTAACAACACTCTGACAGCACACAAGGGAGTATGGAGCGCATGGACAACCGCGGAAGATCACATGGGGGAAACACAAACACAAGTACAAGATAGACTACAAATAGGAATAGATGAAGGCACTGGTGAGCCCGGGAGTTCATAACGACAAAGAAAACTTGACGTTCAAAATCCAGACCCGAACCATCACTTTATTGATATTATATGGAGGAATGTAACATTCAATTTCTGTCTCGTCTTTACTTTTCTACTTTTTCTATACTTAGTTTCTTATTATCTTCTGATTTTTTATACAGACATGTTACTCAACTACGACTATTAAGCTAAACCGATGTGGGAACATACAAACAGTAAATAACTATAACAGCCACGAACTTACGTGGAGAAGCATATTAGCTGAGAACAAAGTTATTACATAAGCGTTGATTTAATACGGAATAATTGAAAACTGTAATGCGTATCAGTTTTTTTTAATGATTGTCTATCCTTTATATCTGTTTTGTATCATCAGGGTTCCACTGGAGTTGTGGCTCTATTTTACCATAATGTCAAGATGATGTCTGTATCACATTTAACTGAAAAGAAAAATTTATAAAAATTGTCAATTTAAAAAAAAAAAAAAAGGACACAGGGATTAAGTAAATGTATAGCTATATGGGTTATGTAGCTGCCTTCAGGAGGTTGACACAGACAAGCCAAAAAACTAAGGCCTGCTCACAATAACCTTGCCCCCAACTGTTTAGGAGAACAAGCAGTACATGTGGCCAAGAAAGAGGTGTGGGACCTGTGTCCCCCAAACCCCAATTAAATGTTGAGGGAATTGCTACAAAAAAAAATTGAACGAGGGTGAGATGTCTGGACAACAAAAGTTGTACAATGGTTGTAAGGTGTATGGCCACCTTAAGGGCCCATTCACACCACATCTCCAGACCAGATTGTTTCCGGACACAAAATGCATACCTATGCAATTTCGGGCCTCTGTTCACAGTAGCGCAGTCTGTTCCAGACCAGAAAAATACCGGTGTCTCATTTTGTCTGGTCTGGAATGCACTGGAACTGTGGGCAGGCTCACACCATTTTCTGTACCAGATCTGATTTTTTTTTCTGAAAAGAAAAATATATATATAAGTTTTCTGAAAAGAAAGCATCCAAATCATAGGACACTAGCAAATTTGGAGGCATGACAGTTGTGGACAGGGTTAGACTTATTTTCGTTTGGCAGTTTCAACCTCCTGAAGGCATAAACCCATACATCTATGAATGTACAATCTTTCATGCGGCCCTCAATGGATAAGAAAATGCTGATTTCTGCAACCGCCCTACTTGACAGGAGTAAGAATGTTCAAATTTTCAGTTTACACAATACTTATTCAGCCATAAAACATCAACATTCTATGTATTAATTGTATCACTGTATATAACGAAATGCCACAATTGTTAATGGTCCTTGTTTAGAATAACACTATTTATTGAAAAACCCAAACATTAGCAGAAGCACTTCCTCTACCTTGACTGTTAGAAATAAAATGTACACTAGATCAGATATACTTTTATTTTCTTTATTAGTTTTCCAAATAAATGCAGGGGGAAAAAAAAAAAAAAAAAAAAAGGCAAAAAACCCACCCACACACAGTGGTGAAATCAAAACCACATAAAAAAACAACTGTGAACTAGCCTACCCCAACCAAAATGTAAAACAGTAGGGGGGGAATTTATCAAAACTGGAGCAGACAGATTCTGAGCAGTTGCCAAATAGCAACCAGCTCCTCTCTTCAGTTTACTCAGTTAAGATGCACAGCTGCCTCAGATTTTGTCTGCTCCAGTTTTGATAAAATCTCCTTAGTGTGCCTCAGAAAAGTAAAATCATCACAACCAAACCCCAAAATAAAAATAAGCAATTAATTGTAAGCAAATTTCAGCACTGCGCTGCAGCCTGAACCAGCAATGGTAATGGCGAGTTAAGCAGCAGGATTTGCAGAGCACTCTGGTGCACTCGAGTGGGAAAAGCCTGTACTGCAAGTATTAAGACACTTCTAAAGCTCAAGAAGCATTCCTCGCACTTCAAAATAAAAAATAAATCTCCAAAAGGCCTCTTTTCTCTAGCACTGCACACATCAGGTGACTGTCAGCTAACAAAGTCACTTCCTCAACTTCTTACAGCAGGGCCACAGAAATAAAGACAGAAAATGTTCAGTGTCTGCTTTATTGACAAGGAGATAGGCTCCAGCAGGGAGAACTTGTTGGAAGGGTCAGGATTCTTCATTGCCAGAGTCATCCTGGTCTTCATAGCAGGCATCACTGTCATCCTCCATGTCATCATCCTCAAAGTAGTCATCATATAAAAGATCAGATCCCTCATCTGGAGCTGGAACTTTTGTTTTTACACAATATTCAGCCAGCGTTGTTGGGACCTTGACTCCATCCATCTCTGCATCCGCTTTTGTACTGAGAACTTGTTTTCTGTTAATGTAAACAAGAAATGGAAGTAAATTCATCTGATTCTAGTACTGAAGGAAACCTGTAGAGAGAATCACAGAGGCTGCCACTGTTGAATCCTCCTATTGACATTGCTACTTGCCTGGCTCTCCCTGTGATAATAGTCAGTGACCCAGTACAAGTATGTATATCTAGAGTTTTGACCTTCACTTGCTGCATACTTATCTGGGTCAGTGACCTAAAAGATATTCAAGCCAGAGACAACCTAGTGTTTTTGGAAAAAGGCAGCCTGTGTATGTCTCGCAGCAAACGTTACCAATACAAGTAATCATTCTGCCTAAAAGGCATGGAGAAAAATAGCTGTGACCTGTAACACTATGGAATACTCCATTATGATAGCCAATAGGGATGCACTGATAGTAGTATTCGTACTCGCTCAAATGCTTCCATACCGGAACTTCCAGTCAGAGGAACTGACTGGCAGTGCCACGAGGGAACCCGCTGCCCGGCATCCTAATTGGCTGGAAAGCCGGCTTCCTGGCCAATCAGCATCGAGCTGGCAGAACAGCATGGAGGCGGCTTCCTGGGCAATCAAGAAGCCAGGCAGCAGGTAAGGAGACACGATTGCCAGGGAAGCTGGCTGCATGCTAGCAGAAGTACCGATACTCGGTATCGGCCGAGTAAGAAAAGATAAAGATATCGGTACTCACATAGGTTTATAATGTTTCCAGTACCTCTTCCCACCCTCATTCACCTTCTCAAATGCCTGATTAGAGGCAGACATATAGTATACTTCAAGGTTGGGTCCTCCTTAAATGTACATAAACAATTGTCTAAAAAAAAAAAAAAAAAAAAAAAATCTGCATTCTGTGGGCATGTTTATGACAACAGGAGCAACGAAAAAAAAAAGAAAAAAAAATACATGAAACTGATTTGCTAGGGTCAACAGTCCCACTTGTCTGTGAATGAAAAGCTATTACATTGGCTGTTATGAATGTAATCCCAGCAGGTGGATTCTACCTAAACGGTAAGACTTTCAAGGGATTCTTAAAAAAAGAGTAGCAGTCACTACAGAAATAATCTTAACCACTTCCGGGCCGGCCGTAGTAAAAAAAACGGCCGGCCCGGAGCTCTCTAGATCTGAGCGGGCATCTTTAGACGTCCGCTCAGACACGCCCCCTCGCACGGGAAACGGCCGACATTATAATTTTTCCTAATTATAGTAAAAAAATAAAACCCCCCAGTGGTGATTAAATACCTCCAAAATAAAGCTCTAACTGTCCCCAAAAAATGGTATAAAATTAATTCCAGTACAGCGTTGCATGACGGAATAAACGTCAGTCAAAGTACTGCAGCGCTGAATACTGAAAAATGGCCTGGGCAGGAAGGGGGTGTAAACACCTGGTCTTGAAGTGGTTAATATTCAGTCTAAGAGGAGAACTATGGGAAGAGTAACATGCACTTATCCCCCATAGTTAAAGCCGACCTGTGACTGTGCAGCTGTCGGCTCTATAGATTGAGATCTGAGCAATCAGATACCGCTGATCGCTCAGCTCACAATCTTCTCCTTGCAGAGTGTAATGACTCCCCGCAAGGAGAGGCAGAGCCAGCTGTCAATCAGGCAGCTGGGTGGATCTTTCCTGGCTGCCCCTCTCTCTCCCGGCTCTGTGCCGTCATCATATAGAGGGCAATGAAATTACTAATGTCCTCCTGTGACCAAAAAGACAACAAATGCCAAAACAAGTTTGCCCATTGTTTTCTTTTAAATTGTAACTGTGCTAGCTTAAACGACAAATTTTATTTAGCTTTATTCTCTTTGTCTGACTCTTCAATTTAAGTCAGGGGATCAGAGGTCACCTAAAAATTCTCATAGTCGCTAGCATGATAAAAGCCTAACATTACACACTGCTTACTTAAGAAAGTGTGCAAGACCAATCCACTGACAAGATAGTGAGAGGGAGCTTTGTGAATAATAATCATTGCTATGCCTGCCCACTGTAAGGTATAGTGTCAATCATTAAGCACTAAACCAGCAATGACATCGCTGCTGCTGATCAATAGTGAGACTTTGAAAGCTGGATTTGTGCAACCCCAGATAAAAAATTAGGGTGAGGGTAAGTGTTGGGAAGAGGGTAACTTTTAAAGTGAATCTAAACTTGTCTTAAAAAAAAAAGAAAAAAAAAAAAAAAAAAAAAAACAAAAAAAAGGGAAAAAAACAAAAAAGGA